TTGCAATCTAAGCGAAAAATGAAATCGAAATTTTTGAAGTCGATATTCAAATTCTTGATACAAATGATATAGAACAAGAGTATTTACTGACAATATGGCGGAATCACTTCATGTTAAATTAGCTTTTAATGCGTTAGCCAATCAAATAACAAGCTAATTTAACACTTCATGTTAAATTAGCTTTTAATGCGTTAGCCAATCAAATAACAAGCTAATTTAACACTTCATGTTAAATTAGCTTTTAATGCGTTAGCCAATCAAATAACAAGCTAATTTAACACTTCATGTTAAATTAGCTTTTAATGCGTTAGCCAATCAAATAACAAGCTAATTTAACACTTCATGTTAAATTAGCTTTTAATGCGTTAGCGTATTTGACCTCGTTACCAACACCAATCAACATGTATCAAAGGAATCTACAGATAAGATTATAACAAATAGGTTATCCATTTTTATTGCCTTATGTTATTAATCGCGTATTAAAATTATGTCGTTGTAAATCAAGAATATAAAATAATTTACAAATCATCAACTTTTGTATTCAAAGTTTTTTTTTTATATTAAAAACAGTTTTTAATACAGCGCTGTCATTAAGAAAAAAATTAGCGTCAATTGCTTAAACAGAACTTATAGAAAAGAAACTTTCAAATTGAATGAAATTTAATATCTGTGTTGTAAAAAAGTCGGTAGTATTTACCGCCCACATGACGAAATCTTGACACGAGCAATAGAAACAAAAAAAACAGGAAGAAACTCGTTAACCAGCCTTAATTATTCAGCCCAATTATTGCTGCTCTCTGGCAATTTTAACTTGAGTTAACTGATGCGAATGGTGATACGGTCAGACATGTACTTGGCAAACACTCTACTGACTTTCAGTCGTGCCTAAGCAAAAAGTTTCTCACTCAAATGGTTACTTTCCTATCATATCAAACAAATAGAAATTTACCGTCAAAAAACACAATCCTGATCGAGTCATCTATGCGTTAGAAGGTGATTTGGGTTTATCTCAATGGATTAAACTCATTGTTTAATTAAAGGGTCTCTTGCTGCGACAAAGCATTATAAAAACAAAACAAAGGAAACAAGAGTAATATGGAGTAAAGTGAACTACAAAGCGCTTTGAAGGCACATCTCTGCATCATCATCATTTTACTGGCAAGCGGTATTTTAAAGGTTTTTGCGCAAACTGCATCTATGAGCTTCTCTCCACAAAATATATTGAAGCAATCAACAAGTATTTAACTCCACATCAGTAATTCTTGTCACAAGGTAATATTTTGTCTAAGGTAATCGAAACTAGCCAGCAGAAATAGGTACTATGGCAGAAATATTTAACTGCAGTTAAGCAAAGTTATAATTTTTTTAAAAACCAAAACAGAATTGCAAGTAAAAAAAATTTAAAGTTGGTTAAAATAGCTATACAAAACTATGTTGGTTAAAATAGCTATACAAAACTATGATGAAAAACTCGTCAGGGACTCCAAGGTTGACACAGAATAGTTACACGCACAGTAAGTAAGAAGAAGTAAACACTAAATAAAAGATCTAAAACAAACAACCAAAACAGCCGATGTTACGACAACTGTGGATCACCAAACAATATGTTCATTACTAAATGATTACTTTGAGTGAATATAATAAAGGACTACAATTTTCGATATCGAACCGCTTGGTGACATGCCAGTTTTTGAAAACTGTACTAATTAAGTATTATAAACACAATCCTACTGTAGATTGTGTTTTTGAGAATGTTAAAAAGATGTCATAAGTTTAGCATTTTTAATTTAAAGGTTCTATAAATTAAAAACTTAATTAAACTTACCTTGTGTGAAAAAGAGATGAAACTACAAATGGAGGTATAAAGGCCTGAAAACTTTTTAAATGAAAAATGGAAGTAGAGAAGAAACTATTTACCTTATATATATTAATGCCCAAGATAAAGATTTTAGATTCCTTTTCCTTTTTCCAAGGTAAAAGGTATTGAAATATGTCTTTTATTGATAATACGGTAAAAGATATCGAATTACGTCTTTTATTGATAAGTCAAGAAACGGTCATGCACAGTGCCGATTTAATCTACCGATACACCGGTAACGTGCCAAGAGGCCACCGAGTTAATGAGGCCAGAGTATCTTAGCGAATTTTTTAAAGATATATAATTTGAATGAAAAAACATTACTTGCCTCTACCCTTGACTTCCTGTCATATCCTAGAGATTTTTTATCTTTGCAATAACATCACATACAACGTATTGCAAACTGGAGGTTTTTAAACTTGAAAGTTTTTTAATGGCTTAAAAAACTTGAAAGTTTTTTAAGCCATTAAAATTCACCTTTTTGTTTAAACTTGAAAGTTTTTTAATGGCTTAAAAAACTTACAAGTTTAAACAAAAAGGTAAATTTTTTTTTTAATGTAAGTTTTTTTAAGTGCCTTAAGAAGTCCTTACAGTTATATCACAGAACACCGTGGAAGAGCACTTGAAAGGAAGTTTATGCTTTCTTCTTTACCGATGCCAAAAAAAATTTGTCTAGAGGTGGTGATGAACCACGGATCTCTAGCTTCTGCGGCAAGCGCACTGCGCTACGGCTACTCAATTTAATTAATAAATTCTAATAAAACAAAAAGAACAAATAGATGTAAAAAACAAACTATTAAAAGAGGATAACAAAAAAAAAAAGCATTTTGAAATTAAAAAAGAGAATTGAATAAAAATTGAAAATAATTTAAATAAAAAATGAAAAAAAATTTCAAAAAATGTTATAAAAATTAATGATTAATGAATGAATTGATATGTCTTGAATTTTTTCTTTTAAGTTTGTTTGTGAATAATATTTTATATAAATATGTGCATTTGTTAGCCAAGCATATCCTATCAGGTATATATTTATAAAGTCTTAGTCAACATTATTTTCATTTTCAGTAAAATTATTATACATTATACACAATTTACCTAGGTTCGGAATTTAGGCTTATATCGGCAAATTTGGGTAATATCATATCGACAAATATGGGTAATATCATATCGGCAAATATGGGTAATATCATATCGGCAAATATGGGTAATATCATATCGGCAAACATGGGTAATATGGGCAAATACGGGCAAATATGGGCATATAAAACGCATATCGGCAAATATGGGCATGCCATACAAAAGTTATGCGCATTATATGTATTTGATGCGCATAAAATTTAATGGAAAAATCGTATGTGAAATTAATTAAATATTGTCAAATATAGAAAAAAATGTTTTTTAAATCAAACGCAGGTGACTTAAAATTAAAAAAAAAAAAATGATTTGATTTTCTGTAGTTAATTTTATTAGTAAATGTTTCAAATTATTTTAATGACTTTTTAACAATTTAATTTATTTTTGCATTACATTTGCTGATTTATAATTTCTTCATGATGAGCTATCGAGTTGACACAGGTATTGTGAGTGAGCGAGGAATATTAGCTGCGACTCTCTTTTCATCAAACCTTGCATTAACAATGTGACGATTTCTCAAAAACCTAATGATTTTCTTAACTTGATGATCTTTAAACTTTCAGCAGTACTCAAAATATTCTTAACGAAAACATTCATCACCTGTGCTGCACAGCCATATGTTGAGATGTGTCGAAATTTTTCTTCAATTAAATTCCCAGCAGCTTTTATTACTGGAGCGTGTTAGTAATATTGCTTCTGGTCCGAAAGTCTAAATTATTTTTATAATGGCATCAGCAACAGCTGCAGAGTTTTGAATTATGCTTCAACGTTGATTAAAGTATGAAAAAACAGTTTTGTTTTTGGCACCTTGATAAATTCACTATACGATCGCAACCGATATTTGTCCAATTATCACCGACGAGCGATAAACTTCCATATGATTAGAGAATTTCTTTCAATTTAGTGGAGCAATCTACATACTTTTTATCAAGAAGCGAACCTGACATCATTTTTGTGCACGGTATTGATGATGCATATAGTGGATTAAGTGCTTTGATCTTTTAAAAGCTTCAGATTCAACGAGACGAAGAGATATGCCAGTTTGGAAACAGAAATTTGCTAATTTCATATCGATTTCATTTTTTGATTCTTCAGGATTTATCAAATACTTCGTATATTTCAGCTGAGATTATGGTAACGTTGTTGAAGTTGATTGATACTTCGGCTTTTTGTTTTGCAAACAATCGTTTCTTATATTCACTAGCATTTGAAAGTGATTTTTGTTTATGTGCTGCGACGCAATCTTTTGCCCATTGAACTGTCTTTTGGCAGGCAATGTAAGTTCCAGTTGTCTTTACTGTATCAAGGTTTTCCAAATAGCAACTTATTGTTAAGTTTTCCATTGTCTTTTTGTTTGAGGAAAAACATCTAATTAACCTAAAAAATTTTCAATTTTTCATTGTTTTACTTATCTCTTTAAATAAAGCACTTTTGTAAGTAATAAGTTAAAATTATTGTTTACAAAAGTGCTTTATTTAAAGAGATTTAATAATAGATTTCAAAGTTTTGAAAAAGTTTTGAATTTCCCTATTAAAACTGATGATTTTTTTTGTTCCAAAAGCACATTATTAAAAATTTTATCAAAACTAGAATTAAAATTCGTTTTCTTGTCTGTCTGTTTAATTAAAACAATTCAATGGTTTTTAATGATTTGAAATGCGCAAAAGTATGCGCATAATTACGTAATTATGCGCAAAAGTATGCGCATAATTACGTGAGTCTATGAGCATAGTTTATCGGCGTATATCTACGCATATAAATTTTTTCGAACACTACAATATTCAAACTACACACATATACACAAATGCTATTTATTTACGACTTTTATTTTTTAGTTCGTTGTTTAAACTACTTGCTTTTTGTATTACTTTACTTATTTGAGACATTTATCGTAAACATCAGTTTTTAAAAAGTGTTATTCATCTTAAGTGATAATGGAATTTAGTGTACGGATTAGTTATTTATTTATAAATTATAATACTATAATTTATAATATATAATTAGGAATAATTAGGAAAACTTATTAGAAAACTAAAAAGTAGCTGATGAAATAAAATGAGCAAAAAAGTCTATATGAATGTCCAGAAAATAGAATATCCAGAGGAACTTAACTCGTAAAAACAGAAAAAATGAAAAAAAAAAAAGGAGCTGAACTCATTTCCAAATTACCAAATATGATGACTTTTCTCTATTATTTAACCAAAAGGTATAAATCATTTTTAATTATTATTATCTATATTTGGGTATTTTAATTTTTAAATTACTAGAACGCAAATAAATCCTAAAAATTCTAAAATTTTAACAGGTCAGAAATAATCTCTTCCTTTATGCAAATCATTTCCTTTTCCAGTTCAAAATGAAACTCAAGACAAATATGCCGAATTTTCGGTCCACGAATCACAGGAAGTGCAGATACAAAAGCGCATTGAATCTCTACATAACTCAAACGACCCTTGCGATGATCACGTGATGACCACGCGATGACCCTCATGATGACTATGATGAGCATAAATCAAATAGCAATCACAGCACAGCGATCCTGCATGGAAACGCAACAACTTGGAGTTTATCAACCATAATTTGTCAAATCCATCCAAAATGAATATAATGAAAAAATTGACTTCTTATCCTCAGAGTAACGTGATTCTAGAAGCAAACTTTGTCGAAGTCATCAAAAAGAGAATTCCGAAACTAGAAACAAGCCAAAACCTCCCTTAGTGATCATGAGCAGACCACAGAGCACTTTCGTGCCATTGACGCATTCTTATCTCAAAGTAAAGCAATCAAGGAAAGGATAGATTTAGAGTTCACCAAGCAACTATTATATTATATACAATGTAAAGATTTAATGTATACAAGTCAAACATTAAAAAACCATATTATATTCTTGGACATATTTTATTTGACTTTATAGCCTATTTTATGCATTTTAATATATAGTTATGAAGTTTTATAAAGTCACCTATAATGATGAAGTTTTTTTAGCTATTTACATGAATGTAAATGTATCATATAGCTACAAATTAAAACAAAAGTAGTGTTTAGTGAATTCTATATTTATTCAGAAAAAAAATTTGAATACTCAGGTCTGAGAACAATTCCAAATCAAGATACGACCTTTTAAAATAAAAAAGTAAAAATTAATCTAATGTCGCACTAGAAGTTTTAGAAAAAGAGTTTTGAAAATATAAACAAATGATGCTTTTTATACAAATGTAGCAGAGAATCACAGTTTTTTATATACTAAAACATCTTTATCTTGTTTTAATTATGTAAGTATCAACGGTGTAATTATATTTATAATTATTTCATTCTAATTAAAATATGAAAATGATGACTACTAAATAAAATTTTAAATGTTGTATCTAAAGCCTGTCACCATTTTTAAATTTGTAATATTTATATTTGGCAATGGGCTTGCGTATAATAACTTGGCACATCTGAATGACCATTAAGTTAAAAGAACTTTTTCTTCAAATGTATAGTCTAGGAGATAATAATTTAAAAAAATTTATCGACAAAAGAATGGTCTATAACATATAAGACCTTTTTAAAAATGTGGGCAGCACTGATTTATAATACTAACAATAACTATTGATAACTTAAGGACGAGCGCACATAACCAAGTTCGTTAACAATGTACTTTAGTTTTATGGACGTGAAATATGGCGCTAGGCAATTTTCTTTAAAAACAACATCTTTGTTTTTTTTATAACAAATGCAATCCTTAAATAACTTTCTAAATTAAAAATTTTTATTCCTCATTGCCGCTCCAAAATCAAACAGAATATTTCTATAGTTTTCTGCATCTTTTGTTTATAATATTTACAATTGCTTTAAATAGTCTTTTTTTTTTTTAAATCTATAAAATGTTCTATAAAATGCAACCTTCAGATTACATAAAATCATATTTGAAGTGCAAGAAAATTTTATGATTATTATTCTCAGTGATGTAACTATTAATTTTGAATAATTAATAACAAAGTAAAAACTTTTATTATTAAATGTGACTACTTTATTACTTTATGTTTATTACAATTTTTTTATTTTATTTATAATAACTATTATTTTATTAATTATATATTTTTTTATAAATATACTATTTAATACACTGTAATAATTAAAAAAAAATAATGTATATTATAATAGTATATATATTACATAAGATAAAATCTTTGTCTAAATTATATCACCATTGTGCTGACAAATTCAAACTTTGAAAAAAACTAATTATAATAGTAAACGAAAAAAAAACATTGAATTTTAAAAACTTACATGTTAGTGCAATGAGAACAGGGTTATTTTTTATCATGACCAGAGCATCATAAGTATTGTCAAAACTGGCAGTAGGTTTTGGGAGAAATCGCATTCCAACAAGAACAAACTGTTAAAAAAATAATAAACAAATAATTGTACAAATTAATAAAGATGCAAAAAACTACTATTTCACTAACCTTTGCAATTTTACCCCATTCACTTTTCAAAATTTGTAATATAGATAAAAAAAAATTGATATAAAAGTAATTTTTTGAGACTTGAATTTTCTGTTAAACTTTAAAAACTTTAAGAATTAAGAGTTTAATAAAAGTAATAAGACACTGTGCTCTCCTGAGACCGCCAGGGTAAATTTTGGTTTATTCTAAATTTTTTGTTTACTTTCTATTATTGGGTTAAATAAAGTATTTTAAAATAATTTTTAAAACCTAAACTAACTTTTTAACACAGAAATTTTAGATTTAATTAATTAAAATGTCTAAAATAAATTGCATCGTTTTATGATTACATCATCTATTCAAATTGGTACAAAATGTTGCAATACAGATAAAAATAATTATTATTACGGTTAAAAGGGATCAAATAAAACTTATATTTTTTCTCAGAATAGCCGACAAAAAATGTCTAATTTGTGCATGTTGCTTCAATTGAAAAATTATCATATAAACTTATTAAAGTAACTCCCTCAGTACAACTTTATTTCAAAATTTATTTTGGAGAGAATATGATGCAGAAAGTGTGTTGTCTAAAAAACATTTGTAATTCTTGCAAAACAAATTTTGTGCGAACAAAACATCAAAATTAAATGATTGGATTGAGAACCTCAAATTAACAGACAAAAACTCAGAAGATCATCTAATATTAGTGAAATACCTGAACAGAACAAATAATCAAGATATTGTTGATAAAATTATTATAAAGATATCCTTCTTGCTTTTCTACAATAGGTATGATTTCCTTAAACAAATTTAAAATATTGTGTAACTTATAGAATATTTTAGTTAATAAACTATTTCTTCAATTATTATCAAAAAAAATAAAACTTAGCATTGAGTCTATGCTAGACAATGCATAATCTATGACTTATTAAATATTAGTTTAATTTATATTAGAGTTTTTTCTATTTTAAATTTCTATTCAGGCAAAGAAATTTCAAAAAAAAAAAATGTAAGAGTGAAGCTGTAAAAAACCTAATTATGTTGGTTGAAGGTCTTGCAAATGTATCCAGTGAGCGAATTACTTCTGGGATTCTCAAAATAAAAATGAAAAGAAACAATGTTAAATCTGTTACCTTTAAAAACCTTTGGAAACAACCTTCTTGTTGTTGTTGGACACCTGATAATAAATGTAGCAGAGCATCCGTTAAAATGTTATCTCTAGAACCTGAGTAAAAGAAAGACTAAGCTACTTTGTAAACATATGTGACAAAACTTAGCAAAAAAAATGTTAGAAACTAATATATCAACTCAGATAGAGAAGCTGCATAACGTATTTTTAGATTTTCATGATGTCAAAACTGAATCATTCATTTCAGGGGATGAAGAGATAAGTCGCAGTTTGGTATTTGTAAAAGATACTTCTGATTTAAATCTTCGTATGACTAATGAATAAGGTTTGAATCCTTATTGCACTATAGCTAGATATTCCAATGATGGTGGACAGGGTTTTCTTAAATGTGTTATAAATGTATTTGATCCACTATGTAAACATACAATTTCAGAAAGTCTTGATGATTCCGGTATAAAAAGATCATTGGTTTGTGATCAATGTGGTTACTTTTTATTTGGTTTAAGCAGTCACAACGGCAAGTATGCATGTCTCTGATGTGAAGGGAAAAAAAAGAACCTTAGGTTCAATTGATATCAACAACAACAAGTTCGTTGAAGATAGATGCAAAAAAAATTGCATGATGAAATTTAAAAACTGTGTTTCTCCTAGAGTTTTGATCTTGATGAACCTCTAGAAACTTCAGTAGAACATCTCATTCCTCCACAAGAGTTACTCATTCTTATTGATATTATTTACACTGTGGCCTGATTTTGATTCGTGGCAAAAGTCGAATTATATAATCTTTAGAGGTTACCACAGAACTGGTTTGGATGGTAACAATTCAAAGAGACTTTTAGATAAATTAGCTAATTTAGAAGTTAATCTTTTAAAATCAGCCTCTATATTACAAATATGATATTTCTCCAACCTGTAGTTAGCTGTCTTAGAATGTTTTTAATTATTAAAACAAAAGATTTTACAAGTTTATTGGAGAATTTACTGCTAAATCAGTTTTATATTTTAAAAAAGCTTTCGAAACTCTGCAGCCTAATCTTCTGGAAAAGTTTAACTACCAATTAAATATTAGCTGGAAAGTTCATATTTTAGTATATCATCTTGTTTCTTTTCTCCAGCAGAGTCAGTTTGGGCTTGATGTATATACTAAGCAGGTAGAAGAAAGGGTTCACTACTATCACTATCAAGTATGGAAGCGATACAAGAATTATTTGGAACACAATGATTATGCAAAACAGCATAGGAAAAGTGTGATAGAGTTTGGTATAAACAGTTTCAAGTAAACCTTTTCTCTCCTTTTTTAAAATTTTCAATTATTGTGAACTTTGAAATGATTAAATTATTTTATAAGGAATTTCAGAATTTCATGTTAAACTGTTACATTTAATGCATTGACGTTATTTTGGAATTTATCTCAATTTTATCATAAAAGATCTAATTTTCTCATTTGAAAGTTGTATTCTTTTACCTAAAATAGGTTTAGAGGTGTAATACCCTATTAAATTTTGAAAAAAATCCCTACCTCCCTTATATTACTCCATCCCCCTCCATATGTTATTTTAGGTAAAAACTATTTTTTACAAAAGAAATACGTTTAAAACTTAGTTTAGATTTTAAAAATTATTTTAAAACTCTTACCTAAACCCAATATTCATAATTAAACAAAAAAAAACTAAAGTAAACCAAAAATTACCCTGGTGGTCTCAGAAGTACACAAAGAGAAATGTATTGAATTAGATATTACATCATATAGGTTAACAATTGAAACTTTTTTTTTAATAAATGCATAAAAAAGGAATTAAACTTGTGATCCTTACTTTTTGAGAAACTTTGTTTAATAAATTTTTTTTTCATTTGTAACAATATTAAGAAAGTTTTTATTTTTATAAAAAAACACACAAAAATTTTTAAGGGGTATTTTTCAACTAAAAAATAAAAAAAAAAATAAAAGTTGGTTACAGATTTTTTATACAGATATATATATATATATATATATATATATATATATATATATATATATATATATATATATATATATATATTTATATATATATATGTATCCTTCATATTGTTTTAAATAAATTGCTTGCTATATATATATATATACACTTATGCATATTTTAAAAATGTCTTTTAATAAAACAAAAACAAAAACACCACTAATTAAAAAAAACTCTAATCATTATTATTGCGGATTTTTTAAAAAACAATAAAATTCAATGTACTTCCCCATTAATTTAATTGCTTTGATATTTCAACAACAATAAAATGCAGCTTAAGAGACAAGATAAAAGAATTGTAGTCGAAAGAGACTTGTTTTTACCATAAAAGTCTCTTTCGACTACACTATAAGGATATATATATATACATATATATATATATATGTATATGTATATATATATATATATATATATATATATACATATATATATATATGTATATGTATACATATATATATATATATATATATATATATATATATATATATATATATATATATATATATATATATATATATATATATATATATATATATATATATATATATATATATATATATATACCTGATGATTGCATTTAGCATGAAACTAATAGTTGTGAAAAATATGCAGTTTTATTTATAAATAATATATGTAAATACAGCTCTGTTTTAATTTAAATCATTTTAATTTACTTTAATTCATCAAGCACTCTAGCGAGGATATATGCAAGCACTAATACGTATATATATATATATATATATATATATATATATATATATATATATATATATATATATATATATATATATATATATATATATATATATATATATATAATAGTAAAAAAAAAACAGCAACTATGGTACAAAAATAGAAATACAAAGTGGAAAGTTCCATATATAGATAATCTTTATAATACAGTTTGTAATCAAAACAAAATGTATATTTGTTCAGCAATTAGAATCTTTGAAAAAGGTTTAGTAAACAATAAATATAATCCAAAAAGGCTTTTCAACTATATTGATTCTAAAGATTCATCATTAGGCCTTATTAATGCATTGATCACTTAATCAGATATTAGCATAAAGAAAGTGGATATAGCAAATGTACTAAATTTGCAATTTCAATCTGTTTTCACAACCAGAAATTTACACACAAAATTACATTACACAGAAAATTACACAGCATTTCCCAAACAAAAGTTCATTAAAAATCTCTAGAATCACATTTACTAAATTATTTTAACAATATTAATATTGGAAACAAATTATTTGGCGCTGACTGCATAAGTCCATTAGTTCTACAAAAGTGTGAAAAATCATTAGCGAAACAATTATCGCTTATATTTCAACATTATTGATCAATCTAAATTACCAGAGTCCTGGTTAGAAGCCAATGCTACTCCATTTTATAAGAAAGGCTGAAAAACAGATCCAGCAAATTAACGACCAGTCTCTCTCACTTCTGTTACCTGTAAAATTCTTGAGAAAATGATTAGAGATAAAATCACAGAACATTTATCTCCTAATAACCTTGTATCTGCCTGTCAACACGGATTTATCACAAATAAATCAAGTGTCACAAATCTTTTGGAAACTATGGATTTTATAACCCTTGCAAAATCAAATAAAAAATCGATAGGTGTCATATTCCTTGATTATGCTAAAGCTTTCAATAAAGTACTACATAAGCCTAAATAGAAAACCATAACTAGACAAATACTACATAAGCCTACATAGTTTAAACTAGAAAAATACAGAATTATTGGTAAACATTCTTCTTGGATAAACTCTTTCATTTCAAATTGTTGTTAACATGTTGTATTAGGAGAAACAATATCTGA